CTCTCACGAGTCGAGCTTCTCTCACGAGTCGAGCTTCTCTCACGAGTCGAGCTTCTCTCACGAGTCGAGCTTCTCTCACGAGTCGAGCTTCTCTCACGAGTCGAGCTTCTCTCACGAGTCGAGCTTCTCTCACGAGTCGAGCTACTCTCACGAGTCGAGCTACTCTCACGAGTCGAGCTTCTCTCACGAGTCGAGCTTCTCTCACGAGTCGAGCTTCTCTCACGAGTCGAGCTACTCTCACGAGTCGAGCTACTCTCAAGTTTGATAACCTTCACCATTAACTTACAATTTCACCATATAAACTATTTATATCCCAAATATTTGATCGAGGTTAGAACACAGGTAAGTCATGCATTACTATTCAATTATATAAGTTTATTGTTTTAGATGGTTATTTTAAAAAGTATATTGATTGATATCTAAAAACTGAATAGAAAGTCGATGGGTATTTGGCTGTATAGATTATGCAACGCGTTTCTATTAAGTAGTTTATAACTTTTATACTGCATAAATAAATTTTCTTTTTGAAGAATGGGCTTTTTAGTTTTTACATTGAGCTAGGAATAGGACAAGAAAGGGCAAGTGGGGAAAAAAAGATGTGTCATTTTCTATGGAGGGGTTGGTTGCTTGGTTCCTTTGACGATTTGGTTTGATTTGTGGTTGGCCTTTTTTACATGATTTTTCTCGTGTTTGACGGTTGCAGTTGCAGAAGCCTTGGTGCATGTCGACCAGGGCAACATTTAAAAACTTTTGCGTTTACTTTTCAACCTACCAACGCCAACTTCCCTCTCATTAAATCACATCAATTAATAGTCAAAAATCTAACTTTCATGTTTTATTTGAGATGAAAACTTTGGTACAAAAGACAATTTCACTTTAGTTGAATGAAGTATTATAACTAAAATTAAGGGTTAAATATGTTTTTAGTCCCTAAATTATTTGTTGTTTTTGGTTTTCGTCCCTCTTTCGAAGTAAGGTACAATTTGGTCCTCATTCTTTTTGAAAACGTTCGTTTTAGTTCTCGAAAACTAACACCGTTTAAAAATTTGGTCCTCATTTAGGAACAAAATGAGAACTAAAACCAAAGTTCTGAAGACTAAAACGAACGTTTCGAAAAGAATGAGGACCAAATTGTACCTTATTTTAAAAGAGGGACGAAAACCAGAAACGGTCAATAGTTTAGGGACTAAAAACATATTTAACCCTAAAATTAATTATATAAAATTTAAATTATTTTTCTTTGGCAATGATTGATCAGGGTATAATTAAACGAACTAATTACCACGCATACGTTTTGATGTTTATTACCTCTTCAATTTTGTTCTCAAATTTTTTTATTTTTTACAGTTTTATACTCTTATTTATATATGCATACATATACGTGTATATATTACGGTAGTTTCATATTTTAATTTTTAGTATATATATTAAATGCTGATATTTTAGATTAATATATCATTTGTTATTATTAATAAATGTCTATTGTGTAATACTTTTAAATATGAAGAATTTAGAATGGAGGGGGAGTATGGGATTAGTGTTTTGTTAGGATAATGACTCTGACTTTTCTTAGATATAGTTTTCTGATTTAGAAAACATTTATTTTGTCTTTAGTCACTTTTAAATAGTATCTTAATCATGGTTGGCACTGTGTCCTAGTGCCATATAAGTGCAAAATTGAGTGATGAGAACTAAGATATTGTTGGAAGTAAAATAAAAACAATACCTTATTTAATATTGCTGATGACATTAGATAGCAGGTGGCGTTATTCCCCTCATTTGACCAATATTTCCTTACAGTTGTTAATGATTTAGATTAAGAAGTGAGAACTTAATGGTGTTCTTTCTTCCCACGAAATTATTTATAATATAATAAATTACTCTCATAAAATAAACTATGAGAAGCAAAAACGTTATCTTCTCTCCTGTGCTCGCTGAGTTTGCTTGAAGAAAATAAATTTTTCTAGCAAAGAAGTATTAAAACTGATGAGCCATAAATATTTAAAAGAAGGAAAATGATACTTGAACAACTATTTTTGACAACATTTAGACACGCGCGCACGTGTCAAAATCTGAGTGGTCCAGTTGGAAAAATTAAATGAAAATGGACCACTCAGATTTTGACACGTGTGCGCGTGTCTAAATGTTGTCAAAAATGGTTGTTCAAGTGTCATTTTCCTTAAAAGAAATATTCAAAAGTCCCTTTTATTTTGTTCTCTCCTATCTTCTCAATTTCTCTCACATCTAAAATGCTTTAAAACTCTCCGTTTATTATCATAAAACATTCTTAAATATTTTTCCTTTATAATTTGTCCCTTAGCATTTATTATTAACATTTCTCTTATCTACCGAATTTTTTTTATCCACATATAGATGGTAATCGGTCTGTTGATTTTATGAATGACTTACTTTCACACATTCCCTTTAACTTTATATTTAAAGAACGTAAGATTAAAAGTGTCATTTTCAAGAATTAACATAATCGGTCTAGAACTTATTACCACATCGTCACTTAATCTTAGTATGTGAAAATGTAAGGCTAAAAGAGTCTTTTTCAATCATTAACATAATCAGTTTTGGGCTTACCATCACATATCCCTTTAACCTTAGTATTAGGGTTATAAAAGTTTTCTCTTTATCCTTTTGTTATGATACTTTTTACTTTGTTTAATAATATAAATCATCTTTACTAACATTTTGATAAGTTCACTTTCATCTTTTTTAGGATTGTTATCGGTTATTTAAACAGGTCAACCATTTGCTTAGTGGGAGACTAATGTTTATCAATTTTTTAAGGTACCTTATGAGGTTAGTGATTGTCTTTAGGAATTGATGCTTAACCAAACTTTTGAGAGACTAACGCTCACCAAATTTTTTAGAGTACTTTAAGACGTTTATCCTATCGTCTTTTGTGAGATTAACACTCAACTAATCACCTTTTAGGAGACTAACATTCAACCAAATTATTGGGAGCGTAATGTTCAACCAATTATGAGTTAGGAGACAGATTGCTCAACCAACATATTGCATTTTGAGAGACTAATGTTCAACCAATTATGAGTTGGGAGACTGGTTGTTTAACCAGCATATCGCTATTTGGGAGAGACTATTTGCTTACCAATTATGAGTTAGGAGATTAGTTGCTCAAACAAAATATCGCCTTTTGGGAGACTATTACCAATGATGAATTGGGAGACAGGTTGTTCAACTAAGTAATGTTTAACCAATTATAAGTTAGGAGACTAGTTGTTCAACTAACATATCGCTATTTGAGAAACTATTAGTCACCAAATATGAGTTAGGAGATTAGTTGCTCAACCAACATATTGTTATTTGAGATACTATTAACTCATCAAATATGAGTTGGGAGACATGTTGCGTAACCACTATATCACTATTTGGGAGACTATTTAAAAAGATTTGCAAAACATGTAAACTTTATTTATGCCTCATTGAAAACATTACATACAACAAGTAAAAAAAAGTACAGTGCACCATATAATAATTTGGCTATAGTAAAAGTTCATATTGCTTACATTCCTAGTCCTTGAGACTCGTCTCCCATTTAATGTTTCTAACTCGTATGCTTCCTTTACCAAGACCCAACGTATTCTACAAAGAGTTTAACTCATTTTGTCGATAGGTTGTCGTCAGTATGTTATAATGTTGTAATAGATTCCTCTAATAAGAGTTGGGATTGCTCCTTTTCCCTTATGAGGTCTTCATGCTGTCTTTGGAACTCTTATATAATTGTCCTAACTTTCTGGTTCTTTCTTCTCAACTTTCCATCATTTTTGTCAATGCTAAAATATTCTAACCAAAAAGTATTAAAACTAATCAACTAGAAACATTCAAGAATAATCTTTTTTCCATCTCCAATAGTTCCTTTTATCTTGCTCTCAAATTTCTCTCACTCTTTAGGTTGTTCTAAAACTCTCTATTTATTATTATAAAATAATATTTCTCCTTTATAATTCGATTCTTTAACTTCTAAATTGCACTTTCATTAATATTTGTCTCATCAACCAATCTAATTTTTTTTTTATATTCACATATTTTATTGACCAATCAACTTTTTATATATCCACATAAACCTATCTCATGAATATCAACCACATAAATAAATAAATGAAGAAAATAGAATAAAAAATTATACTAGTTTAAGCCAAAATAATTAAGTGATATATATATATATATATATATATATATATATAATTTCATTTTGGGTTAAATATGTTTTTAGTCCCTGAACTATCAGACGATTTTGTTTTTAGTCCCTACTCAAAACTTTGATGGTTTTTAGTCCTTATAGTTTTGAAACTCTGAGTATTAGTCCTTAAAAATGGACGGTGTTAAGTTTTTGTGGATGTGGCAAACGGCGATGCCACGTCATCACTGATATCTGCCTTCACTCTCTGCCACGTGGGATGTTTAACTGTTGAAGTTAGATTAAGTCAGTTAATCGGAACAGTTTCACGCGTTTAAACCTAACACAATCGTAATCGGAACGTTCTTCTCCCAAAACGCACGTTATAAAGAAGTCCTTTCTCTCTTCTTGTTCTTGGATTTGCAATCTGTGGTGAAATCTGGTTCGGAATTAGGTGAAGTGGAATCGAAGAGTGTTTCAATGTCGGAAGAGTTTGCGATCGAATTGCACTTGGATCCGGCGTTGGAGAATCAGGTGCTGAAGGCGTGGAACGTTCTCGCGCGCCGGCAAATCACCACTCACCTCATCGAGATGAAGTCGCGCCCTCACACAACGCTCTTCTCCGCACCCTTTCTAGAACCTTCCAAGCTCGAATCACTTCTCAGAACCTTCGCATCCAAGCACGATCCTCTTTCTCTCTCCTTCTCCTCCGTCGGCACCTTCCCCAACCACGCCGACAATCTCCTCTTCCTTGCGCCCACGCCCTCCCTCTCCCTCCTCCAATTCCAGTCCCACCTCTGCGACGCCATCAGAAAAGAAGGTATTGAGATCTCCGACGACTTCGCCTTCGATTCCTGGATACCTTACTGCTCGGTCGCACACCACGTCGCCAAAAACAAAATGCCCGAGGCTTTCTCTCTCTTGCGGGAACTTAAACGCGTGAAACTGTTCCGATTAACTGACTTAATCTAACTTCAACAGTTAAACATCCCACGTGGCAGAGAGTGAAGGCAGAGATCATTGTTTACGTGTCATCGCCGTTTGTCACATCCACAAAAACTTAACACCGTCCATTTTTAAGGACTAATACTCAGAGTTTCAAAACTATTAGGACTAAAAATCATCAAAGTTCTGAGTAGGGACTAAAAACAAAATCGTCTGATAGTTCAGGGACTAAAAACATATTTAACCCTTTCATTTTTCATTGAAAACTAAGATTTAAAAAGAAAAATATGCTATTCTCCATATTTCCACGCATTCATATATATTTTCAGGCCTGCAAAATAAGCTTTTATGCAGAAGAAGAATATTCCAAATTGTAAGTACCATTTGTGGGGTGTTGCTCCCTCTACCACCACATCTTACTCCCTCCATCTCCCCATTCCTGTTTTATTCCTCCTTTCATCTTTCTATTCATGTTTTACCCTGTTTTATTCCTCCTTTCATCTTTCTATTCATGTTTTACCCTTCTGTACAATTTTATTTTTAGAGTTAATATTTTTTAACTTTTACCTACTCCAATCACTTACATAAGTGCGATGGTCTGGTTTATGCTTAACTAATAAGTATTTGTTATTGACAATTATACTATTTCTTTCTCTCTTCAATCTCATCACCCAAACAACACAACTATTTTAATGGTGGACTCATGTTTCTATGTTTCATTTTCTTCTGTCTCTCTCTGTTTTTTATGTTTTTTTTCCATTGTTGTATCTTTTGAACTTTCTGATTGTTTATCTTACCCACACCAACGTACGAAGAGTTAAGCAATCTCGCATAAAAAAATGTTGATACATGAGGAAGAAATATATGTCGCAATGTGTCAGAAAAAATATTGTGGAGGATAGTTAATTTTATAAAAAGGTTGAAACATTTTATATAATCATTTAAATTAAAATTAAAATATTGAAATTTTAAAACTTTAAGAGAGGAATTTGATCATTTAAATTTAGAAAATTTTAAATTATAATTAAATAGTAAGAATTTTGAACTTTTGAAATTTTTTTAATTAATTCATGTATACATTTTTCATTTTTTTTTTTCTTTTTTGTTTTGAAATTGAGATATATATACTTTAACACATTTTACTAACAATAATGAATATTTCTCTCACGTTAATAATCGATTGTGGTTAATTTCCAGATTTATTTTGCAATCATCTTTTTTTACCAACATTAATGATATATGTTTCCATTAATGTCATTTAGAATCTTTTATCAATGTCAATATAATTATTTTTTTATGATGTTAGTCATAAAATATTCATTATTGTTAGTCATAAAATATTTATTATCATTTGGAACCGTTGCACTGCCGAATGACCACTGCAAATATCATGCATCGTTGCACCACGAAAAGTCACACCACCGCACCACGAAACCAAACAGATATGGAGACAGGAATATGAAGAAGAACCAAACGGATATGGGAAAGAGAAGTAAGAGTTGGGAGATGTGAAGAAACAGATCTAGTGAGAGTTGGAGGGGGTGTGAATCTAGAAAGAGAAAAAGTGAGACTTGGGAGGCTAGGGGGTGGGGGCAAGTGAAAATGGATGAGTAAAAATAGGTAGGAATTTAGAGTTTTAGAATAAAGTAAATAAATATGATTAAAAGCTACTTTTATAATTAAAAAAAAAATTGTAAAGAGTTGAGGAAGTGAAGGAAGCATGGGATGTCCATTCGTGTCCCACGTACAATTTCCAGTGTGCCTTAGGTAGTAATTTTCCTATATATATATATATATAACTTTTTAATTATGTGTTTTTCTTTACCACGGCATTAATACAAAATATTTATCTTTGTTCGTATCAATTAAATTCATTTATATTTATATGTGGAGAATTTTATTCATCAAATTAATAGTTTGATTAATATCAATAATTCATAGTAAGATAACGGTGTGACTTATATTTTAATATGAATATATGTATGTAATTACAAAACAAAAAGTTGTATTAAAATTTTGTGTATATCTTTATTTAACAGTGAGAAGTAGAGATATCAAAATTAATCGATGGATCAATCCAGTTACTATGGATTCGAGTAAAATTGAGATGAAAAAGTTTTAGATATAGATTAAAATGAATTTGATTCACTTAATCTATATTAAATAGATTTGAGTTGTATTGCATGCGGATTAACCCCTAATCCACTAATAATAATTTTCATTAATTTTTTATCACCTTCTGACAATATTTGTATTATAATTATTTATTATTTCTAAATATATAAGTTGACAATTTTATTTTTTTACATACTATAATATTATTTAATAAGATTTGAATAATTTAAATATTTAATTTATTTGTTTATAGAGTTACGTAGGTTTATCTATCAATATGTGGTGGATGAGAGAGATTTACTTACTTTGATACTCATTGTAAGATATAAAATTTTAATTAGAAATAAATGAATATATCTTTATTGAAAGCATTGTGAGAAATAAAAACTAATTGAGAATTATTTGTTATAATTTTTATTTTTTAATTACAAAAGAGATTTCTTAAATCTCAGTATCTTTTTTTTTTTTACTTTATTTGTACGTAAAATATCATTTTACCATAACACAAGATTAATTTATATAAAAAATTTAATTCACCTTCTTAATAAAAATTTCCTTTTCAACAACTATTTTATTATTCATAAAATATTATCAAAACTATTATTAAAATTATTTAAGTTTAATTCACTATGTAATTTTGTGAAAAAGGATATTTAATTATATTTAAATGGCATGTTGGTCATTGTGAATGTATTTGTTACACACCTTGATCTCGGTAATGAATGGGTACATAAAAAAGTAATATAACTTATTAATATGAATTTACAATCTTCAAGTTATTTTTAAAGAAAAATGTTACGAAAACATTGTACTTGACATAAAAAATTCTAACAAGGCTAACATTTCAAAATTTCACGACGATGTAGTGATAAAGTTGAAATGGTAGAAGAAGTTCTGAATTTAACTTTTCCAATAAAATAACTAACAATTAACACTTATCCATAAAAAAAAAACTTTAAAATTTTAAGAATTATATGTTTATAAAAAATAAATGCATAAAAGAAAGAAAAGAAAAAAATTACAAACTACTGCAACCAATCATTCGTAACAATCAATAATATAAGTGGACGAGCAACCAAACCAAAATTAACAAGTTTGTCCACACACTTATTTTCCTTTCTTAGCACATGAGAAACATGAAAATTAATATCTCTCCACATAAAAAGACAATAATACTATATTCCTCAAATAGATCAATAAACAATAAATGAAATTTTAAAAATAGCAATTATGAAGGAAGAATATCGTTCAAGTCAAAGTAAATCCCATCTAGCCATTTGTCTATACCATTATATAGTCAAAGTTCACCTCCTTGATGTACAGATTTCGTTTTCTAAATTTTATCCTTAATAATTAATTTTTTTTAATTAAAATAATTATTTTACAAATTAAAGATGGAAAACCACTAATAAATTTCCCAACACTTCTCTAAAGATCCCACCAGCAAAGCAGCCAATCCACTATTACCACGTGCAATATAATTGATGATGCGTTTTGCAAACCCTCTACTAGGAACTTTCCAAATGATAGAAATCTATATATAAGAGCTCTTCGTTTTTGCATGGTCGTATATGTTAATGTATTTAAAAATAGTGAGATCATCCACTCTATTAGCCATATCGACTTTATTAATATTTCCAATCAAATAAAGCTTAAGAAAAAGGAGCACCAAATATTTTAGCACTGCTCATCTCCCAGATATCCAAAACAATATTGTTGAAAACAACCTTCATTATGGCTACCATTTATGGTCTACAGTATTGTTAAGAAAAGTTAGCAGAACAGAGAAGGAATGACAATGCATAAAACATTGAAAAACAATTAAAAGCAATAGTACAATGCAAAAACAAACACTCCAAACTTTCCTGGTTTACGAAGCAGAGTTGACAAACACTACCGAGATGAGCGATGTGTAGGATTTTTCAAAAGAAAGAAGTGGACTGGCACTTCAGAACAGGGGTTGTGCATGTTAATGATACTTATTTCGGGTGGGATCGAGCTCGATGGTCATAGAAAGAACGTTTACCTGATTAGAATATTTTTTACCGAACAAGAATTTTTTGGTATTTGAGCACGAAAGAAAGATGGTGTAAATCAATGTGGTGATATAATGTCAAATTTGGGAGAAGGCTTCTTAGAGAATCATCAACACAAGTGCACTATAAAATATTATATAACATTCACTAAATTTCCTCTAAAGAGAGGACCCAAACAAGATACAACTTTCTGGTTATTAGAGAGAACACTCTACCTCCTTAACCTTCACAAGTTACAAAATAAAGATAGAAACTACTAAAAGGGGACATCTTAGTAGAAGTCCTGTAGTTAGTATTAAACCATAATTCTTCCCAAGACAACCAGTGGGGCCACTTCCTAGGATATGTATCAGTCATGCAACGTAAATAAGTTTTTAGGCATCAATTAACCACCTTCGTTTGGCCATCGGATTAAGGATGATATGTAGTGTTGAACCTGAGTTTTGTACCAGTCTGTTTTAACAATGCTTTCCAAAAATTGCTTAAGAAAATATTCTATCAAAGAAAATTGTAGAGGGAAACCCATGAAATCTTATTATTTCTTAATGAACAATTGAGTGACTTCTGCTACTGTAAAGGGGTGAGCAAGTGTTAAAAAGTGAGCATACTTTGTGAGTCTATCCACCACCACGAGGATTGTGTCTTTCCTTTGGACTTTAGGCAGGCCCCCAATGAAATTCATAGAGATGTAAAACCAAACTTGAGTGGGAATGGGCAGAGGTTGTAATAAGCCTACTGGAGCAGGTGTTTCAGCTTTGTTCCGTTGACAAACTTCACACTGTTGGACCCACTCTTTAATATCTCTTTTCATACCTTCCCCTCACTATCCTTTTAAATGTTTGAAAAATACTAAAACTATCCTAATTCTATATGCTTAAGAACTAAAATGAACTAAAATAGACTTCTAAGACTAGAAAAAGAGTGCAAAATTGGAGAGTTATCACTGAGCCCAATCAAGACTTCTAAAGGATTTTGAAGAATTGTTGGTTGGAATCGTTGAACAACCGTCTCTTTGAAAGCCTATGTGGGATTCGGATAGCAAGTGTCCCACCATTGGAACCAATTCAAGACTTTTCCTTCCAAAGCCACCATAACAACCCTCATCCTCTCCTCCTCATTGACATTCTTTCAACCGGAAATATCTCTCCAACCGGTTAGTCCAGCCATAAGCATCTTCTCCTGCAGAAACAGGAATATCTAGCTTCCTCCATTTTTCCCCCATCACTCTTGAACGTCCACTTGCATTCCCTTCGTCATTATTGTCTTCCTTAGCAACAAAAACATTATCCGTTGTTTGTTTATCAGATGAAACGTTCCACCAACCCTATCAGCCTGTAATCATTTCCTCCAATATTTATGGTCTTTTGATCGTATGATAACATTGTAATACACACAACATATCAAGTCACTATCAATCTTAAAAAATAATTAGTCTCTATTTTCTCTTTTCCCTCAATCTATACCTATAGCTCCATAATTTCAATAGTGTGCCAAATGTCATAATGCCTCAACGTACAGATTTAAGGGGTAAAGTTGTAAAGTAGATGATACTGTTAATGGTTGTGGAGCAGATATCAAGTGATAGGGATGGTTATCACAATAAAACCATTGAGCATGCAGCCAAAAAGCATGATTTCTCGAGCTCTTGGTGCAGATTTGGTGATGATTTCTCAGCAGGTACAAAGCAGACAGAAACAATCTGTGTGTAACGATGGAGTTCAATTTCATTGTAAACATACCTGCCTGTTGATGGTTCATATAAGGTACCTCTCCTCAAATTAATGCAGAGAGGTCCTCTTTATGCCCATACTATGCATATTCTCAAGTTAATTCAGAATATATTGAAGCAAAAAAAAGACTTCTTTGTGCACAAAAGGAATTAAATTTCTTCATTTTAAGGATATTGGGCACGAAAACACTTAATGTGACTTTCTAAAGTTCATAGAAAAGAACATAGTCTTCCAGAAAAGAGCAATAGGAGTATGTTCCTGCCTAAAACAAGGGAAATACTCAATTACCAGTGGTTGAAGACAATAAAGAATATCATGTAGGTGAGCATGGAAAACATTCACTTTGCAACAAGTCAGCCACTGTCTCTTACTTCATGTGCCAATTCATCATTTCAAGAAAATATCAGAAAAATGTAAATAATGGGATAGTAGAAGTTTTAGGTGGAGAAGAATGGAAACCTGCTAAACTTGAAGCTCAACTAGCATGAGAAGTTGAAGAAAACCAAGTGTAATCTTAACATGAAGATGACCATTATAACTTTTCAAATGAAAAAGCAAATCTTCTTCGGGTTTATCAAAGCCATAGAGAATATATATAGAAAGAAACACTAGAAGAACAGTATACTGTTTTTCAAATAAAGGATCCTGCTTGTGCACACAATACTGAGCAGGAAGAAATTTTTAAATAAAAACATGAGAAGTCTGTTATATCAAGGTATGTCTATGGATCCAGAACAACAGTAACTTCCTAATTTCTTTACTTTTTCACTGCGCGTGATTACTGTGATTAATAAGGTGTCAGAACTTTATTTTCTTGCACAACTCTATAGGAGAAAATTGAAATTATTGATTCATTTTTTATGCAATTCCCAAAGATGAGCTTGCTTCATATTTTGTTGGTATAGTTATGCCATTGTTATGATAATTACCGTTCATGGATATTTATTGACTTGCAAAAACCCCAAGCTATCCCTCAACCAGGACAAAATGCTATTTCTAAGACAACTGTGGAGGAAGAGTTCTGAGGGTATTAATTTCATCGTTCATCACATTTTACAAGTGATGTGATGTGACTTTAGAAGCACCTAACTGCGTTATGTTTCTATGTCATTGTTTAACAAGAATGATTTTCCATTGCTTCCATAACTCTTCATTTTTAGCTTATATACACAAGTTTTCAACAATTGCTAGATTTCACTCAGTAAGAGGGAGAGCAGAACTTTGATTTTGGCGACCCACAATTTCCTATGAAGCAAAATTTGATATTTGGTTCTCGTGTTTGAGAAGGATAATATATGCACACATCAAAATTGACAAGCAAAACTTCATCTTGGTAATTGTTATATTGTATAATAACGACTCCATTTTTAATTTCAAAATATTGGATTTATGAGAAATTTTTATATAGTATTTAACTTTACTATTTTTATTTAATATTATTCCTGTTGGATGAATTATATTATATATACTCAATCCCAGATTTAGAGGGCACTTATTCAATTTGTGAACATTTCAAAGATCTGTTGAAACCCAAAATAATATCTTGCAGTCTCTTGCTTATAGGGATTGGATTTTTCTGGCCTTTCCTGAAAAGAATTTTCTACATAATATTCATCAGTGTAAGCTTATATTATGATATTCTCTCCAAGTCCTTTGTGTATGCCAGCTGTTCTCTCTGCCACAAGGATAACAATGTCATAAATGTTATATTGAAAGCATATAGACGTTATCATTCACATGAATATTTCCAGAATTGGCATGGTTATTTATCACTCATCAGCATGATATCATTAGGTATGATATGTGGAGATTTTGGGGGCATGAGAGGTAATTGACGATGAGATGCAGAGAGAGAGGAATCATGGGATAAAGGTGAGCAAAGTCTCGAGAATCAGGCTGTGTATGGCAGGACAACATGTGAAATGTAGTTCGTGAATTGCAAATTGTTGAGGTGGGTCTTATTTAAAATCCTTCTCCTCAAGGACAGATTCAACACTGTTATGTAGTTTATAGAAATAGAATCCAAAGAAGAGTGTCAGAGTTCATTCAACACAATCACTGTATCAGTAGGAAAAAGTCTTGCAAATATTATAGTCGCCACCTCAACAACATTCAATACCCCTTTTTTCTCTCTTTCATACACTCATTGTATCGGTTTCATCACTATCTTCAACCTATATATTATGTATATTAAAGAAGGTTATTGTGGTCTCAAATAGGAGCTTTGTTGTGTAACAATCATGACAACTGGGTAGGTACGGAGCTACCAAACCCTTGGACGTATAGCATTGTCATTTTATAGTTCAAGGACATTCTCCTGCATAAGGCATGTCAACGTCGACGCGTACTACTCTCACTCCAAACACTCTTCTATATATATATATACAAACCATTCAATTCAAAATCCTTGGATTTCAGCATTTCCCTTGTGGACTTTTAATTATCTTTCGTTTTCTAAAACAACAGAAATTTAGGTGTCATGTTTTTGTAGTAAACAAAGTTATAATTACTAGCACCACGTGTTAATACCATGCATGGCTACATAGACATCAACCTGTGGTGGCAGTGCCAAGGATGTAAGAGAGAAACATAAAAACCTAAAAGATTATCGTAAAAAAAGAAAGAAAAAGGGATTTGAAACAATCACTGAGTAGACAGTCAATAACGGTCACATGGGTTTTGCTACTTCTCCAAACGTGAAGACATTTATACCAACCTACACTCCTTGCTCCTACATATCCCGCGCCTTGCATGCAGTTCCAAGTATCATCAAACAGTGATACTCAAAGCACCACTTTCCAGTTATCTAAGTTATTCAACTATCACAGTATTTTAACCATGGATACTTGCAAGAAGTCACCCCTGAAGCCATGGAAGAAAGGGCCAACTAGGGGGAAAGGTGGTCCACAAAATGCCTCTTGCGAGTACCGAGGTGTTAGGCAGAGAACTTGGGGCAAATGGGTTGCTGAGATAAGAGAGCCAAAGAAGAGAACCAGACTCTGGCTTGGTTCTTTTTCCACAGCTGAAGAAGCTGCCATGGCTTATGATGAGGCTGCAAGGAGACTCTATGGACCAGATGCATACCTTAATCTTCCCCACCTGCAGCCCAGGTCCACTTCACCTATTACACCAGGAAAGTTCAAATGGTTCCCTTCCAAGAACTTCATTTCGATGTTCCCTTCCTGTGGATTACTCAATGTAAGTGCTCAACCCAGTGTTCATTTTATCCATCAGAGGCTACAAGAGCTAAAGCAAAATTCAGTTGAAAGGCAATCCCCAAATAGTTCGTCCAATGATCCAGAGGCAGAAATTCAGAATGTAGTAGACAATGCAGAAAGTCCTCTAAAAGACTCTCAAACATCATCAGAGGAGGTTCCAGGAGATATTCAAGAGAAACCCCAGATAGACCTACATGAGTTTCTTCAACAGCTGGGAATACTTAAAGATGAAAAACAGTCAGCTGATAGCACAGAAAGTTCAACAGTTCCGGAAGCTGTGTTCAGATATGAAAATGACGAATTGGGAGTGTTTTCTGACACGAGTGTTAACTGGGAGGCTTTGATTGAGATGCATGGAATTGCTGGTATTCAGGAATTAGAATCCACCCAGCTTGAAGCATATGGCCCAAATGATGACCTTACTTTTTCAACTTCCATTTGGAACTTCTAAGTAACTTGTTTTTTCTGTTCAAGAAAAGAGAGTAGGTTAGATATGGGTACTTGGAATATCAGATTAAGCACTTTAGTCCTGTTTATGTCTGCAGAATTTGAATCTGCTGGCAGCATATAAGAGTAGGAAAGTAGCTAGATTAGTAGACTACCAGGTAGAAAAGAACTTTCATCATTCTGCAAGATGAGAAAGTGAGGATTTTTATTGCAGTTGCAGATGCAATAATCCGTAGCATCTTGTGCGAGTGTTATGGACTGCAGAATTAAAAAAGAAGCTCATCCATAGCCAACAATCTGAGACATCAAATTTGGAATGTCACGGATTTCTTTGAGAGAAGCTGTTAGGAATATGAGGCATGTTCAAGATCTAATCTATTTTGTTTGCATTAATAAAATTGTGTTTTATCATATATCATTTGTTTGTGAAAAATAGTTAATGCCACAAGGTCCTTAATTAAAATTAGAGACTTTTTTTATAGAGATCATAATGAATGAGGAAAAACAGTCTTTTATAATAGACTTTGGAAGAAATTTTGAAGCACAGGATTTACATAAAGTATTTCTAGGGAATTCAAACAAAAAAAAAGTTGATTTACTTACACAATATCATGAACCATTTTACAACCATACTCCAACATCAATCACCAACAACTCTCTAACTGTTAAATCATGGACAGGTGCAACCCTCAACTTCTAATAAAACATACCAAGGCAATGTTGTGATTTTAAAATATATGGCTCAAGGAAGCAATTGATTAAGTTAAAGTAAAATATTTCTAACCCTATTTAGAGGCTCAAATACAATGTTGTTGTCATGGGTTAACTAGCGAATTGATCCACAACCCTAAGTTTGATTTAAAAAGTACTTAATAAATTAAGATATTGATTTCCTCGTCTAGATTTTTTTACCTTCACTAATGCAAAAATTACATTTAATTAGACATAATATATTACGATTTTAAAAAAAAAAATAATCTGATAGTGGTTTTGTAATTTTTGAAAAAATATAAACTAATTTGTAATTAAAATCATGGTTTATACTTTGACTACAAGAATACAGGCTACAATACACAATAGCCTATACTCTGTTAATCAGAATATAAGTTACATTCCCTTTAAAAAATTGTAACTTATACTTTAGTAGGTTACGGTTTTATAAAGTATAGGATATGTATTTTAAATTCTGACTATAAAAGTATAAACTACAATTTTAACAGAACCGTGGTTTATACATTTTCAAAAATTATAAAAATGTTATCGCACTTTTTTTATAATTACATTTTTTTAAGTCGCAACATATTATACATAGTTAAATACAATTTTTACATTAATGTTTCCACATTAAACTAGCTAGAAATTATTAAAGACAGAAATGTGGAAAGAAAAAATATATTTAGGTGGAGAAAATAATCGCAAGAATTAAATTAGTGGGACCTAAATAATTACAATTATATATGATGAGTTAGCACAAAATGACACATAATTTCTGCCTGGATCCTAATCTTTCAAAAGAACACTTTATATTTTTTCTCTTTTATATTTGTCCCGTAGTTGACGGTGTATGGTGAGTGATAAAAGATGGTGGACCTAAGATGTTGAACTTATCAGGTAAATGTTAAGATATAGCTTGGAAATCATTTCGATAAAAATTGGAGTTTTCCAACACTGGTTTTTATATTATATGTTTTCATTGTGTCATGTTAAAGATTTCTAGGTAAGAACATCATAATATAATTTTTAATTTTGTGTCAAAATGGATTGTACCGCTAAAAGTTACATTCCAATTATATAATCTAGAAGGATTTTTCTAAATTTTAAAAATTACATTCTGAAAACATAATTTGAAAATGCATTTTAGAAAGTTAAATCTGTAAATACATTCTGAAAAACTTAATCCAAAACCCATTCCAGGAAACCATATCTAGATTATTGTCACATAAACATTAAACAGATATTGGAAAACTCAATCCAAAGTACTTTTCCTTATTACATCGCGTGTATTTCTGAATGACAAATTTGATTGTATGTATATTCCTCTTTTGGAGTATCCCACGATTAATCCGGAATTAAAAATTACACCAAATGTAGAAGAAAAAGGAACTATTGCCTCTGCTTGCTACACACTGGCCAATTTATAAATAATTCATGTTAATCAAAATATTGACCTTGCAAAACAAACTACTTGTCTTACCCCTCCCGCCAAAAGAACAAGGCCATGTCTCATTTATATAATACAATACAATAAGAATAACAGGAATTATAGTAACAAATAAAAATAATAAGACTAAAAATAACAATATTAATAATAATGATATAGTTATTATTCTTCTTATTATTAGGTTTAGTAAAAGACCAAATTAGATTGTTATCCCATTTTATAATGTCTTCTAATATCTTTCGTGGTCTCTCCTTCCAATCTTCTTTGTGAGGCTAAAAACCATGCGATCTATTCTCCGGACAATAAAATTTTAGTAAAGTTTCTTTAAATTAAAAATATGAAAGGGTTATAAGGATAGACGAGGCTCAAACCTATACCAGCATGATTTTAAAAGAAATAATGCAGTTTCTTAAAAAAAAAGAGTAATAACATTACTCCATTCCAAGAGTTTTTTTTCTCCTATTTCTCCTAGATGAATGGTTCCTCAACATAAACTATCAACGGCTTTCCTTTCCAAATACATTGGAAATATTTTACTAACGTTCACGAATCCACCAAAATAAGCACGAGTGCAACGATAGATGTCTTAATCTTGAGAGTCTGGTCTACTCATTCTGGTACTCAGATGCACTCAGATATTCACCGTGCTCCTCAAAATACTCAATCAATCGCTTTAGAAATCCATCACCACTGACTGTCTCTGTGTCACAGACAAGACAGCATTGCCTTCTAGACCGTGTCACGGCTACATTCATTCGCCGCCGATCACTTAGAAAGCCAACCTGAAAGATATATTTCAAGTCTCTCTTATTCTTCATTTCATCTACCAAAATCTCCCACACAGAACTTATATGAAGAAAATGAAACTAGCAGACTTGTTAGAAATACCTCTTTTTTTGAATTTGATCGAACCATTGATATGATAATGGCTTCCTTCTCCCTTCCTTGGAAACCATCAACTGTTGAGATTTCAACATCCTTCAACCGGTCCTCCTTGTTTTTCAACATCTTGAGCAAAACAACCTGTCAAACTAGTTATAGAGAGTTACGAAATTCCATCCTCGTAAAAGTACTAAAATATGAAGCCTGTTGCAGAACATTTACAGCAAAGGTTTACATTGAAGGATTTGACTCCTTTAAAGTGAGAAGGTGAACTTTAGAGAATAAAGTACACTCACTCATAATTGTTCATTAGAAAATCAATGGTTGAGAAATCATATATATGAAAAAATATTAAATAAATTACAATCTGAACCATTCATTTCTAATAAACGGTTATTATTGTAAAGTGCATTCTTCGATTTAGAAGACTCAAATTCCACATAGAACAAGTTCATACCTGGGCAGCATATGGGGTAATAATTCCTATATCAGAAGGAAGCACCCCACTTTGCACTAGTCTCTTCGCATGAGCCACAGTAACTTCAGCTTCACCTTCATTAAAGGTGCTATCTTCTTCATCTTTCTTTTCTTCCATGTCACATCTGAATCTCATCAATGTAAGCATTTCGATGACATTCTGTTTGAAAACTAACTCCTATGGATATTAAACAATCTACATTTGCTTCATACAAAATATAATTACTTCATCCTCTTAGGCCTCTGCTAACAGGTTGGTTGAATGTTAATTTCTTGATTAGATAGAAGAAACCAGTATACTAATTACTGAATGCAGATTATCAAAACACAACCACTATAAACAAAATGATGGTATATAAATTTTCTTAAGAGAAAGCCATGACTTCATTCCACATGTCCCTAATCAAGCAGTGAGAAGATAGAATTTCAACAAGGACATAATCCACATACCCAGCTGTGTCTACAAGAAGAAGGGTTGGTTCAGTTGAAGATGTCCGCTTCACACTGTCAAGATCATATAACATATGTGCACTAACACTTGCATGAGCCTTGATCTGTTAACACGTAATGACATGCAGGATGATCAAATAAATTGTTTACCCCCCTTCGCCTAACATAATATTATTTGTTCATGATTGATAAATTATGCTATGTAGTGGCATATAAAAGATAGCTTTAAACTGATGCAATAGGAAAACAGGCTTTAAAATGTAGGAGCACCTTACTGTTGTAAAGCTCTTTAGAAGACCAATCCATGATAAGTTCATGCATACGGTACTGCACAGTAAGCATTGATGTGATTTCATCTCCATACGTTTCTGCAAGTCGTTCAAAGAGAGTTCTTCCTAAGCCTTTCTTCTCAGCTTCAACACTTTGAATGGTTGGAGGAAGTTGAAGATGGTCCCCTGCAAGTATACATCTTGAACCCTAAAACAATGAACTCTTCATTTAATTCATTAGAATAAAAAAAACATCATGTAATGATCAGAAAGCTACATGTTTTAATACAGAATCAAACCCAGGTGTAGTATCAAGCATTTAGTTTGGCCAGTCCAGAGCAACTTCTCTTTTGTAAAAGACAGTACATTTTGGTATCCAACTACCCTTTAAAACTTTAAATTCAGTTCAATTTAATATTTGAGTCGGATCTTTTATATATCCTGCCGTATGGAGTCCAGAACACTAGGATATTGTACGAGAAATGAAGGACTATGTTAGAAAACATCATTTTTCTAATCATTATCCTCAAAATCAGTTCTCAGGATCATTAGAAGCACTTGTGCAACAAAAAATTAAAATATTTAGTTTTCAAATTCTGGTTTCGGGAGATTTTATTGTATAAAAATTAACCAACCATGCTTTATTTTAACTATATTTGTCATGGAATATCACTTCTCTATTTTCCCCCCTCCCACCAACCATAATGGTGATAATATGAAGTGTTCAAAAACCAATAAAACATGGCTTGTGTATGTAATCAGAAGATAAAAAGAAGTCAGAAATCTAAATGGGTTAGCAGTGAATAAAATTGAATGTAGTGAGTATTCTTTAAACACTACCTTCAGCAGAGGTATCCAGCATGCTATCTCAAGTGCTTGAGCAGCTTCATCAATAATCACCAAATCAAATGAAGTGCTGTCTAGTTTCTTGGAGAAAGCCCCAATCAAAGTAGTTAATATTACATCTGCACTTTTAAGTACATCTGTTACAGCAAGCTGCTGCCTTTTACGTTCTTCTTTGGATAGAGTCCTAAGTTCCCTCTGTATATCCTTTCTTGTATTTCTGTCTTTGGTTTTCAGAAGTTTTCCATTCAATGCCTGAAAAAATAGGTTATATCATATAAAAGGTAATATTGCTTAATCATATTTATATCTAATTAAGCTAACAGAAGTTAATGCTGAAATCAATGATATCATCTGAAGTATCAGTCCCGGAATCATCAGCTGGATGAATTAACAATGTTTATAAATGGTAATAAAATCACAATGAAAATTAAGATGCAGATCTGTAACTTTTGTTCTAAAACTCACCTTCATTTCTTTCCGAATGTCATTTGCAAGACCACTATTATCTCCTCGTAGTACCTAATATCAGAGAAATTCAATATGGAATGGGTAAAAACAATGACATAAAACATTGTATTTGAGAATGCCAAAGAATACTGCTTAACTTAATCTATCATTAATAGAAACCACAAGAGGAGGGCGAATAACAGAATATCAGAGCGATTTATCTGTCCAGAATCATTGGGTAAAAGTTTTTAAAGGGATGTGTAGTGAGGAATGTAATGTTCTTTGGCATTGTGATTTGGTTGAAGCGAATTTGGCAGTTATGAATAGAATAAAATGACAGAATTTAACCAGTTTTCCTCCTTCTCTTGTTGTGTTGGACAGAGTAGTTTACTTGGTAATTGGTCCATGATTCTTAGCGGGGGTTCCTACAATGGATCTCTAGAGAGAATGCAGACCTCTTTTCAGATTACTGCTTTGCCTATCTTTTAGAGAATATGCATACAACACTGACATAAGTTTGGACATTTTACTGATCCTATTGGGGAATAGTAATGAAAATATGGATAAAATAACTAATGCAGATATCAAATGTTAGCGTTTAAATAAGTTGTCAAAACGTACCTGAGCATCCAGCGCACTGTCCAGTACTTGAGGCAATAAGCGTGCAGGATGACCCACTCTCACCAGCTTAACTCTAGCAGAAAAATCACAGATCATGAATGTGTATTAAGTACCAACACATCATTTTACACATTTGAAGAAACCTCTCAAATTTAGAAGGAATAGAATTCTTTCTTATTATTTTAAGAGGTTATTAACCCCTATATAAATACATGAGTCTGCAGCATATTTTAGGAAATATGGACTGCTAATTCTAAGGGATAGATCCCTGTGATTACGAGATCAATCAAACATAAATGAACCTAATAAAGGCAGCACATAAATACAGCACATCAAATATAAAACTTCCTAAAATACACCATGCCAATCTCTATCACGTCAATCACGGTTTCTGACACTCCCCCTCAAGCTGGTGAGTAGGTGTTTTCCATTCTCAGCTTGGATATGATTCCTTCAAAGTTAATGCAGTTCAGCCCCTTTGTCAGTATGTCTGCAAGTTGGTTCTGGGTGGATACATATGGTGTGCAAATCATGCCACTGTCTAGTTTTTCCTTGATAAAGTGTCTATCAACTCCAATATGTTTAGTTCTATCATGCTGCACCGGGTTGTGGGCTATGTTAATTGTAGATTTATTGTCACAATATAACCTCATAGGTTCATCCCACTTTATCCTCAAGTCTTCTAATATAATCTTCAGCCATAGAAGTTCACACATTCCGTGAGTCATTGCTCGAAATTCTGCTTCAGCACTTGATCTAGCCACTACACTCTGTTTTTTACTCTTCCAAGTCACTAAGTCTCCACCAAGGAAGGTGCAATATCCCGTGGTTGATCTCCTATCTACCACTGACCCCGCATAGTCCGCATCCGTATAGGCTTCAAGACTTACACTCTTGTTTCGTTTAAACAAAATCCCTCTTCCGGAGGTTCCTTTCAAGTACTGGACAATTCTAAGGACAGCTTGTAAATGTGCTTCCTTTGGTTGGTCATAAACTGGCTGACTAGACTCACAGCAAACGCAATGTTTGGTCTAGTGTGAGATAAGTAAATAAGCATGCCCACAAGTCTTTGATACCTTTCCTTGTCCACAGCAATATCCTCCTCCATACTTCCCAATTTTATATTTGGATCAACTGGGGTGCTTGCTGGTTTGCAGCTTGTCTTCCTTGTTTCTTTAAGCAAGTCATTAATATACTTTTGTTGAGATATGAAGATTCCTTTCTTGGAATGAGCCACTTCAATTCCTAAAAACTATTTAAGCCTTCCTAGTGTCTTGATCTCAAATTCAGTGGCAAGACATTCGCTTAACACTTGTTGTTCCTTTCTGTCGTTTCCACTTACTATAATGTCATCTACATATACTAAAAGAATTGTTACTCCCCCTGAAACTGAATGTTTGATAAATAATGTGTGATCCCCTTGGCTTTGTTTGTAGCCCAGACCTGTCATAACTTTGGTAAATCTTCCAAACCATGCTCTTGGGGATTGTTTCAGCCCATATAGAGCCTTTCTTAATTTGCAAACAGTTCCAGCAGCAACCTGTCCATTGTAACCAGGGGGCAACTCCATGTATATTTCTTCTTCAAGGTCTCCATGTAAAAAAGCATTCTTCACATCAAACTGCTGCAGATCCCAATCATTATTTGCTGCTGTTAGATGTTAAGATGTGTGTTTCTGTTATTTGGGCTTAGTCTATTCTGTATTAAGGGCATTGGCCCATATCTTACAATATAAATAAACTACCCTATGTGTATGCAAAACACACAAGGGATATTCTCTCCCAATCTTCTCTATTTCTCATAGCTGCTAGTGACAATATTACTCTGACCGTGTTCATCTTAGCAATCAGGGCAAATGTCTCCAAGTAATCAACTCCATAGGTTTGAGTGAAGCCTTTGGCCACCAACCTTGCCTTGTAACGTTCGATGGTCCCATCCGCCCTATACTTTATTGCATATACCCACTTACACCCTATTGGTTTTTTTCCAGGAGGTAGGGTGACAAGTTCCCAGGTCCTATTTTTGTTTAACGCCTCCATTTCCACATCCATGGCATGTTTCCATTTCTTGTCAGACAATGCTTCAGATACAGAGGAAGGTGTGTGTGTGTGGAGTTGAGGTTAGTGAGAAAGGTTTTATGGGTAGGTGAGAATTTTTCAAAGGATAAGAAATTTTATAGTGGGTAAAGTGGTTGTTGGGTGCATGTTCTAGTTCCCTTTCTAAGGGCAATGGGTAGGTCAAGAGTTTGGTCCACCTGTGCTTCTAGATTTTCATAAACAAATTCATTAGAATCATTGGAATTTATAGAATTTGAAGGTGGTGTTACCTCATGCAATGATGGTGGGTTGGATTCTTGGACATTGCCAGGTTCTAGAATGGCCTTTTCTCTCCTTGAATATACTAGATTTTTCCCAAATTTTCCGCCGCTATCAGGTGCAGGTCTCGCTGGTTCAGGTGCAGGTTCAATTCTTCCCTCAATTTCATGAACAACAAAGCCATTTGTCCCAATTTCAGGTCCAAACGTCATGTTTAGGAACATGAGAGTCTCATCTTCCTCTCTTACATTCTCCCCCTGAAGATGAGGCTGTTGGAAGTAGCTCTCTTGTTCGTTGAAGGTGACATCTCTTGACACATAATTTTTTGGAAATGGGTTGAAAACATTTGTACCCCTTTTGTGTGGTAGAGTACCCTAAGAAAACACATTTGACAGCCCTAGGATCCAATTTTCCCCTTTCATTACTATGAACATGTACAAAGGATACACACCCAAATATTCTAGGTTGGAGTTTATTTGTAGGGTCTAAGTGTGGTTAGAATGAGGATAAAACTTCCATGGGACTTTTTGAGTTTAAAACTTTAGTAGGTAACCTATTAATCAGATAGGTGGCAGTAAGAAGGGCTTCCCCCCAAAATCTCTTAGGAACATGATTTTGAAAAAGTAGAGCTCTAGTTTGGTCTAAAAGGTGACCATTTTTTCTTTCTGCAATCCCATTCTGTTGAGGTGTGTTCACACATGAGGACTCATGGATTATTGCAAAAAGAGTTTAGGACAAGGTTAAAGTAGTCCTTGGCATTGTTGGACCTAATTCTTTTGATACTGACCCCAAATTGATTTTTAATCATTGAGACAAACTGGACAAACACAGAGCTAACTTCAGATTTTTGTTTCAATAAAAAAAGCCAAGTCACCCGAGTACAATCATCAATGAATGTTAAAAACCATTTTGCACCTGAAATATTAGGAATATATGCAGGACCCCATACATCAGTGTGAATAAGGGAAAATGGGAAAGAACTCATCTTATTGCTAATGGGAAAAGGTACACGTTTGTGTTTCGCAAACTCACACACCTCACAATGGAGACTTTCCACATTTAAATTTTTAAACAAGGAAGGGAAAAGCAATTTTATAACTCGAAATGACGGATGTCCTAGCCAGTAATGATAAAGTTGAGCTTTGTCTTTGTTGGTCATGGTGGATTCAGAGATGAGACTCTTGTTGGGCAGATCAGGGTCCTCCATGTAATATAGGCCATTCCATTCTCTAGCATGTCCAATCGTCCTCTCTGAGTTCTTGTCCTGCAATATACAAGTGTTGCTATAAAAAACAACATTACATGAAAGATCTTTGGTGAGTTTTTGTATAAAAATCAGGTTGGTAGATAGTTTAGGGACATGAAGGACATTTTTTAAAGTCATGGATGGGCTTATTTGGACGTCTCCTTGTCCGGCTGCAGTTATGAGAGTTTCATCTGCTGTGGAAATTTTCTTGTTGCTAGGACATGGGGAATATGTGGAGAAGTATTTGGGTAGGGGGGTCATATGGTCAGTGGCTCCAGAGTCTAATATCCAGTAATGTGTAAATGGTGTATCTGAAACATTGAGCCCAAACAAAAGTGGAAACTTACCAGAATATGATAAGGAGCACGTACCTGTGGGCTTCTCCAGTTTACTAAGGATGGATCTTACTCATTCTATCTCTTCATGATTCAACTGGACAGCTTCTTCACCTTGTGCATTAGCAATGTATGCTTGCCCTTGCCCTCCTTTTTTCTGTGGACCTCCTTTCGGTCCTCATTCTCGGCTTGGGGGCTTTCCATGTAATTTCCAGCACTTTTCCCTTGTGTGGCGCGGCTTGTTACAATGGGTACACCAAATCTCCTCATGTTTTTTCTCCATACTGGGAACCCAGTTTTTTCTCTGGTTGGCAACCATGATTGTTCCTCCTTCAGCTATCATTGCAGAGCTTTCGGTGGTTGAGGTCTCCAGCATCAGCCCTCTTCTGCTTTCTTCACTCCGGATAATGGCTACCACTTCATTTAGCCCTGGGACTTTCTCCTTTCCCAAGATTTGAATTCGGACCTGGTCATACTTAGGATTTAGGCCTACCAAAAAATCATAGACCATATCTTGTTCAATATACTCTTTTAGAATTGCTGAGTCCTCTGAACACTTTCCTTTTATAACTCGATAGTGATCCAATTCCATCCATAGAGGCTTGAGTTGATTGGCATATTCTGTAATGGATTTGTTTCCCTGTTTGGCAGCCACGGTTTTCACTTTTACATCATAAATTTGGGCAGCATCCTTGGCCTTAGAGTAAGTTTGTTCAACTGCCTCCCAAATTTCCTTTGTTGATTTCAGAAACATGCAGGTATCACTGATTTCTAGAGCCATTGAATTCCACAGCCACACCATGATCATGGAGTCTTCTTCATCCCATGATTTGAATTTGGGATCAGTCTCATCAATTGCATCACTCGTTAGGTGACTGATCTTCCCTTTCCCTTTCAAGATGGTCTTAATGATTTGAGACCATTTAAGGTAGTTCTTTCCATTTAACCAATAAGCAGAATGAACATTCTGCAGTTCTCCGGCAGTCTGGGGTCTGTCCCCCGTCTCCAGATTCATGACTTCATCCATACCCAGGTGCGATCAAGGTAGAGAGGGTTGTACTGCAATGAAGGCTTGTAACAAGGCCTAAAGGTGGCGCAGCATAAAAAGGCTGCAATTTAGGTTAAAGGTTGTGCACCAATGAAGGCTGCAGTTAATGGCACGGTCAGAGACTCCCAAGGATCGAGAGCTCTGATACCATCTCAAATTTAGAAGGAATAGAATTCTTTCTTATTATTTTAAGAGGTTATTAACCCCTATATAAATACATGAGTCTGCAGCATATTTTAGGAAATATGGACTGCTAATTCTAAGGGATAGATCCCTGTGATTACGGGATCAATCAAACATAAATGAACCTAATAAAGGCAGCACATAAATACAGCAATAAATACAGCACGTCAAATATAAAACTTCCTAAAATACACCATGCCAATCTCTATCACGTCAATCACGGTTTCTAACAAAACCAAACCATGCAGAAAGAACACATGTCACCACAGAATCGGGAAAAAGGACAAAAAATAAATAAGAACAGAAGCACAACAAAATGTATCCAAATTTATAAACTTTACAAGACATTATTACTTTCTCAAAGGGGGGAATTTTGAAGAGGATATTTCTTTTTCTTCTAAAATTACTGGTTTTGTGGAGAAATGTTCCACAATAGAAGACATTGTTTATCTATATTGTCAGATGTTAAGGTTACTATATTAGACACATCACACCAATCCAAGTAAAACCACTTAAGGCAGTTAAATATTTCAGGGCCAAACAGATAATAAGATAAGCATACCTATGTGGAACGAGCCGCTCTACAATGTTGTCAACAGCAATATTTGAGGCTGCACAAGCAAGAATCTTAGATCCACGTTTTATTTCTTGTAATATAATTTCTACAACTGTTGTAGTTTTTCCCGTTCCAGGTGGTCCATGCAACAAGAACACATTCTTTGACGACAGAGCTTTCAAAACTGCTTCTTTCTTTCAAGATAAAGACATAAATACATAACAGATATATTCTGCATTTATTAGTTGATATCCTAAATAACAAGAAAAGCTTCACCCCACTAGGTGAGGTATATTGATATACTAAAATCAATAATAAGGAACCACAACAAAGCTCTGCCACTTAAATTATAATAGAGCATGTCCTAGAAATCTAAATATTCCAGCTTATTTATATGGTGGTAATTAATAATATTCATCTAACTTCAGCTAAATATTGTGATGCTCTTTTAGCTATGATTAGACACAAATAGAACTCTACGGTTGCATTCTTATAACTCATGAGATCTTTATTGTAGGATTTAAAGCAATCCAGTTAAGTAGTTAAAAATAATAAGGAAATTAAAAACTTCAGAAGGGTGCTAAAATGCAAAAAATAATATTTTTAGAGATCATGACTTTAGAATGCTTTAAGAAAAAATATCTAAAATTGTTGAGCCCTCAAGTGATTAATGATGTAAATCTCTGTAGTGTAAGCATTCAACACTTTCTGAATGTTATTAAAAAGTATAGTTCTTTATTTTCTAAATTCAAAAAAAAATTTGCTGGAGCCTCGATCACAATTCTTGTATCCCCTAAAGTAAAGGACCTATTGACAGCAATAAGAATAAAATAGTGTAACAAACACTGAAATATGTTTTTTGTACCCAAAAAGTTATAGAAATATCCATGTTAATTATAAAGGAAAAAGCAACCTTAGATGAAATGATACATTGAATGAAAATCACCTACCGAAGGTATAAAACTATTTCGTAAAGATTATAAGAAATGAAAAGTAAAGTGGTCGGGCAAGAAACTAAGTTGCACACCTGAGACTGATCAAGATTTCTATTATAGGGAGTAAAGGATATATCCTTCTTGGACACTGCAGGTTGCCTCTCCCCAAACAAGACAGGAATCAGATCAGAGGCAGGACCCCTGTGCACTCCTTTGCTCAACTGTATCAATGCATCTTTCATCCTGCGATATGTCACCTACATGAGCAATAGATATTTACAGCACATAAAAACCTAGGAACCAAAAAAAAAAAAAACAGTAAAATATGTTTTGCATCACTATAAAATTATGTAAAACTAAATGTGTCCTCCAAAAGAACTATGCATCATTTGTTGGTTCCTCTAAAAGTTAAACATATCTTTTAGGTTCTTACTTAGTAATAAGGACAGATGAAATGGTCTTGACAAAGTGTAGTTATACTTCTAACCAAAATCACTTTTAATTGTAAAATTCATCCGTTAAAATCTTCATCATATCGGTTTCCATTTATCTTTACTAACAAGGACCTAAAAAATGTTTAAATTTTAAAGAGAGAAAAATAAAAAAATTTGGGAAAAGTATTTAATATATTTCAAAAAATTTATAGGGATACAAAACAAATTTTACCCAAATAAAGATAAAGATGCCTAGAAACATGTTAACATTGTGTAAAAAGAAAACAGCTAACTGAGCAAAGGGAGAGCAACAGCTGCATATTAGGGTCCTCACCATATCTGTATTTTATGCAAATCTATAATTATTTACAATCGAACTGCATACCTCATTTGCTACTTTTTCCAGCCTTAGGGGACTGTTCAAACCGTCTTCCGGTATATCATCAAAAGCAACAGTTATTGACGAGTCCTGTTAGTAATTGTATCAAAACAGAGTAATATATCCAAATGTGGGACCATCTTAAGCAACATCGTGTACATTTTTTTCTTTTCACTAATTGAATCAATTGGATACCTTTAATCTGTAAACAACACCTTGTCCAAGAGCAGGAGAACCTAAATCAGCCTTGTTAAGTTTTAAAACAACAACATCATGAGTACCAAACTGCGAAAAAGAAAACCACATTAACTCATGAAGGTAATACAATGTTAATTGAAAAAAAAAATCATATGTGATACAAGATGTTTCGGGCAAGTAACTTTTACTGGGAATAAAACAAGGAAGAGGGATAGAAATGCATAAAACACAACAAAAGTAGGCTCATTCACACAAGAAAGTAATAAAAAGCACAAATTTAAATTTGAACAAACCAGCATAAACAATTTGATAGTGAACAGATAATAGAAAGGAAACATTTACCTTATGTGCAGGAAGAACATCTCCTTTTGTAGACTGGAACTCGATCAGAGACTTCCCCATAAGCCCTGTCTATTTTCGGAATAAACAAGGGAACACAAAAACATAAATATTTTATGAATAGAAATCAACTCCACTTACTACTTAAACACACATGAAAACAAGAAAAATCAATTGTAAACTTAGATAGTTCCATTTCCTTGATACTCTAGAAATCTCAACAGAAATGAAACAAGATAAACATAACAAATTACACTTCCTCAAATATGTTTGCGAAATCCAAGAAACTACACTTAGTTCAAAATAAAATGAGGACTTATAGAGAAAAAGTGGAAGAAGAGGTAACCTGGACATCGATGCACTTCAAGTTAAGGATTGTGGAACCCCTCTTTTGAGCGGTGTCCAAATTCCTGGACGCACCTGTAGCAATTGAGCTTGAAATCTCAGCTTCCTAAGCCAAAGATAAAATAATTTGAAGTTATGATCGGTTTGATGGTTGTAATCCGAAAACATTAAGCTATTGCAATGATAATAGAACAGAATAGAGGGAACCTTTTCCAAATCAAGAAGAGGAGCGGTAACAGAGATGAATTGCTGCAATGATAAAGGCTTCTTACTCCCCGCAGTTGCCATGTTCACTCTCACTCTCGCCGCTGCACCCAAAAGTTACTGTAATGTGGTTAGCATTCACAATACGTTACACATCCAATTTTCATATTAACATTTGCTAATATCTTAATTGGGTGGAATATTTGGAAGAAGAAAAAATTGAAAATACCATATATAGATTGTTTTAACGTGAAGTTATTTTCCCTAATTCCCTTCTTTTAATTTGGATTTTCCTTTTATTAATTTTCCTTTTACTCTTATAAATTAAATCAGAAGAGTTTTTTCCCTATTATCACTCCAAATTCCATACCCACAATAATAATAAAGATATAAGGTTTGGAGGCAACTCATTCAGGACAATCAATTACATCTGCTTGCAACTAACAATGATCCTGCTATATTTTTTTTCTGGGTACCTTTTATAAAAAATTTGCTACATTTATAAAACTATCAAATAATAAATTATAAACCAGTAAAATAGATCTTAAAATTTGTTTAAGAAACTTATTACCTTATTAAAACAGGATTGAATCATTTTTTTCATAAATAATTTCAAAAGAGAAAAATAAGAAAATAAAATAAAATAAGTTATTTCAAATAAAATAATTTTAGTTTATATAAAAATTAATTTTCTAAAAAAAATTCTGATTTAATGAACTCTTTCCAATTGTTAATTTTAGTTTACAAATAAATTAATTTTAACTTATACAAATTTTAGCTTATATATATATATATATATATATATATATAAAACAAAAAAAATTATAGAAAAAAATTATAATAAGAGTTTCATAGGTTATTTTAAATAGTAAGTCTCTTTAAATAATAAGATTTTTTAATACATATTTTAAATTCGAAATTGTGTTTAATAATATATAATTTGTAGTAAAAAGAGAAAACTTAGTAATTTAATTTCATTCCTTATGACTTTAATATTTTGTTAGGATGTGATCACGTTTAAAGTATTTATTTATCTTGAAAAAATTTTATATTGAGATAATGTGGTCCATTTTTATCAGCATCATTTTACATATGGATTTTGGAAACGAATCCAAAAGTTACGATCAGATTTATGTTTCATCTCTGGCTTTATAGTAAACAAAAACAAAGATCTTGAATTTATAATCTTGGATCTATAGAAAGAGATCTTACCAAAATTATTTCAGAAAAAAAAAGGGTTAGAGAAGGAAAAAAATGGGTGTTTTGCACTTTTTCACATCCTTATAATGAGACAATTTTGCGCATGAATCACTCTCAATGTGACAATGACAACAATGGTCATGGTGGAGTTGCTCGTAATGGATTATGATGATGTATCACTAGAGGTCAAATAATGTTGTAGTGAACATAAGAGACTCAATTGGTTTTGCAATGCAAGATATTTGTAGACATGAGTATGATGTTATTGGATATGTCATACTTAGAATTCTTTAATAACCTTAGGTTAGGTGAATAGAGGTGACAAAATGGGTCAACCTGTCCCACAATTAGTCCACCAAAAACAAGGTAGGATGGGTTGGCCCGTCGTAGGAGAAGAGATTGAATACTAACCTACTTAAACAAAAACTCTTTAATAACCTAACATTTGTATCACATCATGGTGCAAATAATGTTGTTTTGATTCATTGGTCAACAAGCGTGGAAATACAAAAATTCTCCGAAGATTAGTTTGAGGGATTTTAATCCCACTTATGCCAAGTATCATCCATGTGCTATAGATACGTGGTAGATCAAGCAATATATATTCTTAGAGCTATGGAATTCTGGCTTGACAGTTTGAATGCAATCAATTGAAGGTCGTATGAGGAGCATCACGCTAAAAAACCACTTGAGTGAACTTCATGCTTCTATGTACATCCACTTAGGAACTTACAAACATTTTCATTTGTCAGAATGTGTGTTGCACCAACACAAGTACATACAAATGATCCATTAACCCCTATTTGGGTTGGAAAAGGGAGTGACAATCCACTTTGATGACCACTTGATTATAGACCTCATGTTACACATTACTGCAACACATTGGGCGGTATCAATTTGTATCATATACTTATCTTGTCCAAGTGTTAGAGAAAGGTGATCTCAACATGATACTCCATCGTTAATGTTAAAGTCTAAATATGCAAGAGAAACAATTATTAGGACACAAACATCATTGTGTGGTTAGTTTTAATTTTTTAACAAATTAATTGTATTGAATTTATTTCTAACAACTTTTTTGTGGCATTATATGGTATATGTAAACAAATTGTGACCACATTTCAAAAAATGATTGCTTGAGGTCACATGACTAAAGGAACTCTTACATAAAAAAGATCTCAAATTGAGCTATAGTTAGTCAAAGTAACAAAGAAGGGAACATGCTACACTAAAAGAACACGTGTTATACTATGGAAGGCATCACAACCCCACTAGCTATATTTATTTCATCTTTATTAATTTAATTACTTTCAAAATATTCAGGCATGTAATCATTTAATTAGTTTTAGGATAATTATTTATGAAATCATTTAATTTTGTACCATAATTACAATAAATAAATGTAACTAAAAAAAAGGTGTAACTTTACTCTACAATTTGAATTTGATATCAAAATTTAATAATATCGAAGGCTAACAATGGCGCCTAATAGGTAATAATTGTGAAAAAACTTACATACTAGAATAATGACTGAGTGAGTGATAAGTTGTCGTTAATATTATCAAATTAACATTATTTTAATTATAGCAACTTCAGTATTACTTTAACAATTTAGATATGGTAAATTTAACATTATGTCATTTCTCAATGAATATAGAATATATTTTTTTATCAATTTGATTCTTATAAAAATCTACACAAATGGTTAGAATAACAAAATACAAATAATAAAAGATAAATATAAAAATCTAACCTAATGTAATTAGTCACTTAATGATTTTAAAATATGCAAAGGATGCCTAAAAATATATAAAAATGCACTTAAAACAATTAACATGCAAATGCTTAATATGCTAAGATGAAAGTGTCTAATATTGTTATGAAGAAAAGATGAGATTTTGATATGTAAAAAGTAAATAGCAAGTCAATTCCTTTGTTTTTCAAAATAGATTCATCCTTTGTTATCTAAAGACTATTGTTAAATTGATTGTTGTTGTAAATTTTCAAATCAATCAATGTAACTTAATTAATTTATTGCATACTTATTATCAACCAAAGTAATTTCTCAATTAAAAATAAGAACTTTGTCGGTAACTTCTCAATTAAATATTACTATGTCTAATTGTATTTATTTTTTTATTTCTTTGATGAAGTAAAAAGTCAATTAATCAAAGTAAGTCTTTTGATTAATTCTAGTTAAAGTTTTTCCCAAAAACCAAAGTAACTTCTCATAAAAACTCATTTTAAAAATAACTTAATTATTTAGATAGTCTTACTTTGGTAGGAGTGCGTGAAGTTAATCGTGATTTTAAAAAATGTTTTAATTTCTAAACTTTTAAAAAAATGCATCAATTAAGTTTTTTTTTTTTAAAAAATCTAACACCATTAACAGTGTTACATGTTGTACCAAATACTTGACACATGACAATAAAAAATTTTTAAAAAAAATTAAAGAAAAAACACATTAATAATTTAAAAAAAACTAATTAAAACACTTTCAAAAATTAGAATCCAATTGAAAAAACTTTTTAAAAAAGTATGAACATCTTGACACACTTCCACCGAGATCATCTGAACCAAGGTGGATCCCAAGGTGGAGAACATCCGACTAAGTCTTTAGACTGGGTGATTTTGTTTCTGAGATGTGGTTGCCTTTATACGAAATTTCTCAGTGTCAAAGATAGTAATAAAACAGCCAGCACATTTATCCATATTTTCTTATAATATTGAAAAATCATCAAACAAACTGCAATACATTGTCTAATAATAATAATAATATCCTTAATCGAATTTCTGTAGAAACTACAAGCATTGATGATGGATAACAACATAATAAGTAGTCATCCTTCCTAATCACAACAAATTCGTCTTCTTCATCATATAACACTAAAATCAATAGTTCTAGTTTCCACTTGCCTCCTGAGGCATGCGAGAATGAAATAACATACACTGATAGTTTTAACACAAAGAAATCAAAGTAAAACAGATTCTTAGTTCGTTTAAAAGATCTTTTTTGCTTGTTCTACTCTCAAGTTGAATTTCTTGTTCAATATTCTATTATACTTTACAATCAGCAGAGATAGAATGTGAATATATACACTTCAGGTACATTTAAGGTCCAATATCATACCTTGAATTCACCTAAAAAAATATCATATTCACTACAGAATATGGGTGATTGCACACGAATAAGGAAATCAAAGAAGAGGGCATCCCTCGGCATATACACCTGGAGCTGTGGGGCATTTGGCCAAAGGGCAGTGGTCTGCATCAAGACCCCACCAGACTGGACCAAAAATACCATTAGATTGAAGGGTGAAATAAAGGATCACACTCATGAAAGCAACTCCAGCATCTAAAGCAGCTGAAAGGATGTAAGTATGCCGGACCCACCATGCCTTAAACTTTCTATAAACATAGAAATTGAAGAAGATTCCAACAATGCCCCATGTAATATAATTCACTGATCTGGCTGGTGGAATGTTGGATGCACCTGCAGCGATAATGGGAAAGTTGATGAGTTCAATCCACTTGTGGTTGGGGAATTTACGAGAAAGCAACCACACTGGAATAGGAGCAAGTAGACCAATGAGGAAAAACCAATTCATCCCAGGGTAAACACCGTCCTTGGCAAACATTCTCTGTGGTCCTACAACTCCCCATATGATTGAAGCATTATAGAACACATCGTCACCAGGGCATGTCCATGGACTACCCTTTGGCAACAATGCTTCATCACAAATGTTTTCAATAGACGTCAGAAGCCACCAAGATGTGGCAAAGTAGACAGTTGAAGCAACAACTGTGCCTACAACCTGAACGATGAACATAGATTTAGGAGGAATTTTCATGTAGTGGCCTAATTTGAAGTCATTAAGAAACGAAACTGCCTGTACCATGCTGTCATGTCCATAAATCTTAAAGACTACATTAGCAAGGGGTTTTCCTGGGTAAATGAATCCAATTAT